GCCTCTCACGTGCACGCCCTGCCTCTCACGTACACGCCCTGTCTCTTACGTGCACGACCTGTCTCTCACGTGCACGCCCTGTCTTTTACGTGCACGGCCTGTCTATCACGTGCACGCCCTGTCTCTCACGTGCACGCCCTGTCTCTCACGTGCACACTCTGTCTCTCACGTACACGCCCTGTCTCTCACGCGCACATCATGTCTCTCACGTACACGCCCTGTCTCTCACGTGCACGCCCTGTCTCTCACGTGCACGCCCCGTCTCTGACGTGCACGCCCTGTCTCTCACGTGCACACTCTGTCTCTCACGTACACGCCCTGTCTCTCACGTGCACGCCCTGTCTCTCACGTGCACGCCCTGTCTCTCACGTGCACAATTTGTCTCTCACGTGCACGCCCTGTCTCTCACGTGCACGCCCTGTCTCTCACGTGCATGCCCTGTCTCTCACGTGCACGCCCTGTCTCTCACGTGCACCTCATGTCTCTCACGTGCACACCCTGTCTCTCACGTGCACGCCCTGTCTCTCATGTGCACGCCCTGTTTCTCACGTGCACCTCATGTCTCTCACGTGCACCTCATGTCTCTCACGTGCACACCCTGTCTCTCACGTGCACACCCTGTCTCTCACGTGCACGCCCTGTCTCTCACGTGCACCTCATGTCTCTCACGTGCACGCCCTGTCTCTCACGTGCACGCCCTGTCTCTCATGTGCACGCCCTGTTTCTCACGTGCACGGCTTCTAATTAAAGGCCTCATATTCCCGTGTCCCTAGCAGAGTGCGGTGTTGTCCTGATGTGTGTGTCTGTAATTACTGAGCTCACCGGTTAATCACAGAATGATTTTAATTACTGAGGACTGACCTTGAACTGAGGGGCTTTGATGCAGAGAAGGCAGAAATCTGCAGCTTCATGGCTGGAGGCTACAGAGGCCCTCAGGGGACATTCTATTCAGACGACAGGCCGTTAAATTTCAAACCACAATTTGATGGCTTCACTCTGTAGGTGCGTCCACAACCTTTGCTTTGTTTGTTCCTGAGAGGAAGCGAGTTCTGTGGTGCTACATAGAACCAGTTAAACAGAAGAACAGAGGTTTAATCCAGGAAGTGCTGAAAAGTCGCCTTAAATCAGAGACTGATTGAATCGGCCCTTTTCTGGCTGAGGTTCTGCAGCTTGATGACGCTGAAGGTCTTTATTTTTCTACAGCTTCTGATGGAACGGGAGCAGGTTCCCTGGTCACCACTCCTCCACCTCCGTGCTTTAAAGCTGCATCCAGGGATTCTGTCTGGCCTCTTTACCTCTAATCTAACTGTAGTTCTGCTTAATCTGGTCCCGTTCTTCTCTCTGAGTCTCCTTTGATTAATAATCTGGTTCTGTACGAATCCATGATCTTCGGCGCTGAGGCAGACTTTCATAATCAGGCTGATGAGGAGCAACTGCATCTAGGATTGAACAAACTGCAGCAGATAAAGAGCCAGAGTCTGGATGAGCTGCTGAAGTCTGGATCTCCATCCTGAAGGTCGGCTGAAGTTCACAGACTGTCCTCTGCAGCCAGAGCACGCTGCTGGCAGAGCTGCAGCTTGGCTGGGGCATAAATCAAACGCTCCTCTCCTCCGTCACCGTGCAGCTGGAGGAGAGGAGGAGGAGGGAGAGGATGAAGGTCGGCTTCATTAACGGCGTAAATTAAGCCGACCTTCATCGTTCTGGGATTTATAATATCTCTCCAGATGTGGACAGACGGGATGTTCATCACGGATCAGACCAGAACCGGGTCTGGGCCGCCTCCATGCAGCCCGGCGTGGAGGAGAGTAGCCTGAGGTTCTGCTAAGGTTCAGCATTGGTTCTGATATCTCTCATATTTCTCCATTCAGTTAAGCCCAGAACCATTGGAGCAGCTTTTTCTTCCTCTCCCAGTATGACCAGTACCACGTCCTGCTGGACGAGGAACGGGAACATTTCTAAAATGTTCTGGTGGTTGGCTGTGTTGGCTATAGAAAACCCAGTGGACCAGAACCAGCTGGTGACATGGCACCAACTTGTGGAAACATCTCATCACTGCAGTGCCCTTTCCTGCCTAATTTTTTCCTTCCACTTAGTTTTCCATCCTACAGACCCAGACCCTTTCCAGAACATCCATTATTTGATTCAGACATCTTGCCTTCAAAGGCTAAAGTTTTCACTAAGCTCTGCTATAATCATCAATCTCCTGTTAAAAGGCTCCTTTAGCTGGAATAATTGGACCCCTCTGATCCAACCAGGTCTCCTGTTGATGAGGAACGATGATTAGGAAACACATTCATCATCCCTGACCTGCTAAAGCTGATTAGATCCATCTACCAGTTCTGTTAGAGACGGTTACACAAACACACCCGTCTGCAGCGACTCCTGCTGAGCTCCCACACTCTAACCCCCCCACACACACCACTGAGATGAGTCAGCACCATGTGGCATCGTGTGTGTTAGCCTGGCAGCTCCCACGTCAGCCTCCTTCCAGCTTCACAGATGTCTCTCTGATGATGAAACAACCACAGGAAAGATGGCTGCCAGCAGACAAAGATGGCCACCAATAGGGAAAGATCGCCACTAGCAGAGAAAGATGGCCGCCAGTACAGAAAGATGGCCGCCAGTACAGAAAGATGGCCACTGGCAGAGAAAGATGGATGTAGCATAGAAAGATGGTCACCAGCTAAGAAAGATGGCCACTAGCAGAGAAAGATGGCCGCAGCAGAGAAAGATGGCCACCAATAGGGAAAGATAGCCACTAGCAGAGAAAGATGGCCACTGGCAGCTAAAAATGGCCACGGATTGGGAAAGATGGCCACTGGCAGAGAAAGATGGATGTATCATAGAAAGATGGTCACCAGCTAATAAAGATGGCCGCAGCAGAGAAAGATGGCCAGCAGCAGACAAAGATGGCCACCGATAGGGAAAGATGGCCACTGGCAGAGAAAGATGGCCACCGATAGGGAAAGATGGCAACTGGCAGAGAAAGATGGATGCAGCATAGAAAGATGGTCACCAGAAGCTAAAGATGGCCGCAGCAGAGAAAGATGGCCAGCAGCAGACAAAGATGGCCACCGATAGGGAAAGATGGCCACTGGCAGAGAAAGATGGCCACTGGCAGAGAAAGATGGATGCAGCGTAGAAAGATTGCCACCAGTAGAAATAAATTGGATTGTGCGTCCCTTCAGAGAGTTCCAGTGTGTAGCGTGTCCTGATTCTCCAGAGTGGTCTTTGGCCCCGCCCCCTTTGCAACCTTGATCCACATCTAAGTGAACTTCATTGAAGATTGTTTTCATAATTCGCCAGGCAGGAGAATATGGTGACGAGCAGCTCCTATAACGCTTGATCCATAAATCACAAGCAGAATCTTTTTGTTCTCTAAATTAATATTCAATCAATAATTATTCAGTTTTATTGATCATCCAGGAGATAATTTGCTGTAAAAAATCATCAGTGAATAACAGTATAGTTTCTGTTAAAGATGTATTCAATCTTATACTGGCAATGTTTTATTTAATAAATATAACCTCAGATATAATAAAATCTGCAAACCAGACCTCAGTTAATCAGGATTACTCTGTTTAATCACATTTTCCTAACCTTCCAAAATGAAATACAAATATTCATACAAGTTATACTTGATAAGAAATGTTTGGTTTGATAATGATCAGGTAAACCTTTTCCATATATTTTGATAGAAATAAGGAGCTTATATAGAAAAAAATACCAGATTTAGCAACAATGACCCTCAATAATCTTCACTGTAAATTCATTAAATGGCTCATTTCTCCAACATTTATAGAAACCCAATCAAAGCACAGAGCGGACCAAATAGATGTTGGTGATAATTTAAAGATGAGATTCAGATTTGAATGGATAGTGTGTAATGGAAATGTAACGAGCATTTGAGGAACACGTGAGCACTAATGTTATATCAGTGTTTAACCCTTAGTGGATACATTTTGTCCAAGCTTCGGAAACAACAAACACATATTATTATAGCATAGCATAGCATGCGGTCCATCCTGTTAGCTTTATCTTTACTCATCAGTAATCACATGAAATGATCAAAATCATCAAAAAACATATTGTTTGTTCTGTCCCTAATTGGGCCCAGCCTGCAAACCTTTTGTCCATGTCCATTTGGAAGGCTTGAATTTTCATCCAGCAGCAGCTTGGCAAGGCAGGCTCACAGCAAAGCGGGGGGGGGTTCCTGTCCATGTGGCTCACACCAATGGATCCTTAGGAGACTTTCTCATCCAGTCTGGTTCTGTGAGTTCTGAAACTCAAGAGAAATGTGTTGCAAAAAGTTGTGGAGCAGCTGTTTGGTTCTCAAAAGTCAACCATCACGACTGGATCATTCTGGAGATCTGGGCCTTTTTGGTCTGGATCTTCATGATGGGTTCTTCCGACGTGGACCCCCTGGCTGCTTCATGGGACAGACAGAATCAGATCTTTATGATTCAAAGTTGCAACCGTCTTCTCTGGTCATCATGTCAGGATGAAACATGGACACTGGTTCCCAATGTCCAAAACCACAATCATGGCATATGGCACAACGGATGGATGGATGGATGGATGGATGGATGGATGATGGATGGATGATGGATGGATGATGGATGGATGGATGATGGATGGATGATGGATGGATGGATGATGGATGGATGATGGATGGATGGATGATGGATGGATGATGGATGGATGGATGAT